CTACAATCTCCAACAAAAGTCTTGGCACACCTTCCCACTTTTGCAATATCTGTCAGGGAAATTTATCAGTTCGTCCCCTTCCCCCCAGTTCAATGTTGTTTATCGTGATGAAGTCGTCATTGCCCGTTTACAACATTGTCGGGGGAAGGGGGTTCCCTATTCTAATGATGTCATCAGGTATTGTCCCCAAAATGCCTTGTCAATGCATTTTCGTGCTATCTGATCCAGGTGTGCCAAGGACTTTTGTCGTGGATTTTAGAAAGCTTCTCTGAATTTGTGCATGTAAGACACAGAAAAAATTTTCGTCGTAGAATATTCGCTCATAGAAAACTCGGGCTTGTAGTCTTGTTGTTTAATTTTCAATAATAGAACCAAAAACGTGCGCTTTCCAATTGAGGGAATTTCCTCCGTTGTCACTCAACTACCCATCCAGTTAGGGCGTACATTATAAACCAGACGTCTAGCCTGTTATATAACCGAGTCATATCGACATTTTATGAATGGGTTAACTTTCAATTATGAAGGGTACTGGTTCGACCCTCGGACAGGCCATTCTTTTTCTAGAGCAATTGTGTATATGTTATACGAGAGCCATAGCAAAGAACTTGACGCCGCAAAAACGTCAGGGAGACTGGGTACCAGCTTTCAGCAGTAGGAACAACCAGCGTGGATTACACATTTTTTTCTTGAAATAAAAAAAAAGAACTGTATTGGGTCAATATTGAGCTTAGATAAAAAGAACGTTCTTCATAAAGAAACTGGGACGCCATATAGTGTTGAGCAAAATATGTCGGAACATCGGATATCGCGAGCTAAAGTTTAAAAACCTTTTATGAAAGTTCGTTAAGCCGGTGGAACTGGATGCCATGCCGGCGTTATTTCCAGTCCATATATACAGAAGGGAGCCGTGGTTTGAACATATGGTATATATTGCCAGGAATTATTTGCTTTTTTTCCTTCACTGTAAGCAACGGGATTTTGCGCTATAGAATATATAGAAAATTTGGCGCGTAGGAAAGGTTTGGTCAATTTGTTTCAGTGTGTAAAAAGAAGAAAACAAATTCCTCCGTACGGCGAGACCGGGATTCCAACTTGCGACTCTGCGAATCTAAGATTTGGCAGCGAGAAGCGTGCACTAAACCACTGCGCCATCCGGCTTTGACACAACAATACGTGTAAAATTTGCAGAAAAATACATAACAGTTTTAACAGCGCGCACTGTGGTCAGCTGCAGGAACGTGGTCAGCTGCAGGAACGTAAGCAGCGCATACAAGGTTACTTTTGTAGTGAATGTTTTCTTGATTAAAACTTTATCTCGCGACCGCTCATTAAAAAAGATCTTGCTTATCTAGACAAAAACGTTAAGTTTGAGGTTCGGCTTCGAAGTTTGTCTAACACGCAAATAATTCTAAATTTGTCATATTTACATCTGTCACAACCTTCTTAGACAATTAAATGAATTTTATCAGTGGCGATTGTAGAAAAGATAATGGTGGAGTTGATAATTTACGCTTTGGAAATATTTATTCATAAAGCTAGTTTATTGTAGGTAGTTAAATCGTTGTTGCGTTAAAGAATTTGCATCCTATTTGTACTAATCTATTCTTGCCCTTTTATTTCAATTTAGACGGAATGTTGACATTGAAATCAGAGAAGGGTAAAATATTTTAATTACTTGTTTCCGTAGGTATCAACATCACGCAGCCCTAAAGTTGAAGAAGATGGCTTTGGAAAACATGAACGCTATCCGGAAAGTTCCTTTGGCAGTTTTTCTGTGAACGCAATGGGCAAATGCGAGTAAGTCATGTTGCGGTGAACATGTTTACTGTAGATTTGATTATTTGAGCTCTGCTTAATTTGACCTCGTCAAATTTTATATCAAATTTAAAATGTGACAGAAAACTTGAGTCATCGACAAGGGTAAAATAAGCAAGAACTTGCTGTGTTATTTTGAGATTCATTGACATAAAAAATGTCGACGAAAATTCACGTCAATAATTATGGACATGGATTAAGAGATGTTTGGGTAGTGCGAAAATGTCAACTGAGACGCAATTTCGCTACGATCGATTCTTGGGCCAGTTTTGGCAAAACTACACGTGCAAAGGGAAAATATTGTTTGGTTAGTTCCGCTACATCGACAACTTTGCACAATTCCAAGGTATTGTACAAGTGTTGTTACAGTCATGGGCTTTTGTTACAATATTCTTGGATACATTTGCTGGGCACAGTGTTTTGGCGTCGAATATATATTTCTTTCTTCAAAGATTTTTATGACACTTTTTGATATTTTGTTATAATATCAACCTAGATATTTGTTTGTTTAAAGTCGACGTTCACTTCTGTTTCAGATGCCTTGGAGATGACAAATTTGAAGAAAGATCAAAGATAAAAGTCAATCTTGGAAGAAAAGCAAAAACTGATGTAGAAAACCACTCCCCGCCACTACCACCAACTAACATTTCTTTTATACTTTACAGCGAGAGTTTTGAGTTCCCGTCCTTGTGGTACAACTTGGCAGTTACGCATGCGCGTTTAGTATCAAACTTTTCAATAAATTTTTTCTAAGTCTTTTGGCGGGAAGCGTTTGTATGTATAAATTTCACTAGCGTACTCTCTTTTAGAGGCCTTCAAAAATGACCAGTTTTAAGAAGTCGCAAAAGAAAAATTTCAATCCTGGAAGGAAGGGAAAAATTGATGTGGGACACCGCCACCTCCCCACCACCGCCACTAACTAGCATTTCTTTTATACTTTATAACAGGGATTTGGAACTCTCATCCTCGTGGTACAGTTTACCTTAATACGCATGCGTACTAGGTGAGTGTCTCAGTTATAAGAAGTCTAGTATACTGTATGTTGTAACTGTAAGTAACTGACAACATCGTGTTGGGTAACCCGAACGTTTTAGCTCCGGGTTGCCCCGAAGACACGAAGTTGTCAGACACTTACAGTTACTACATACAGTATACTCGACTTCTTTCAACTGAGACACTTACATAGTATGCATGCGTGTTTGAGGTTACTGTTCCACATCAATTTTTGCTTTCCCTCCAGGATTGAAAATTTTCTTTCTGTCACTCGTCATTTGTAACGCATCTGCAAAAGAGTCTTGCAAGGATAGCTTTCAGTAAACTGACACAAGTTTGTAAAATTATAAAAGTAATTTATTTTCTGAAATTGCTACAAACAAAAATCAATAAAAGTTAATAAAACAATATTCAGTGCACATATCTTTCGCGTACAATAAATAACAGTGTACTCGTCATCAGAGGTAAATAAAGCAAATTATTTGTCTCGTGTCTGCCGCTATATTCCGAAGATGTTGTGATCTAAACGAAACCTTCATTTACGAATCTTGTGTTATTTTCCTCTGATAGCGATGAACTTGTTGTGTTCCCGTAATATTAACAATATCCAGTGAGGCTTTACTCTGCCGTTTGGCTTAACAAAACTCAATTGTCTTTGCGTGCCGTTTTGCAACTAGATTTCGAATTACATGAATGTCATAGAGGACGGTAATTTTACAAAACCTATGAAAAATTAAAGATAAACACAATTACATAATGGCCACTATTTTCCTTCTTTGTACTGCTACAAAGATTCCGAATAGTTTCATTTTCAACTCTAAGCTTACAACTGCCACTAAATAAACTTATCAACTTATTTACTGAAAAAATCACGTAAGAAAGATATAGTCGAGCTGTGCGTAAACAACGACAGAGACATGTTAATTGAATCATTACAGAATGACAGTCGATAGAATTAACATATGTACTGTCATTGATTTTGAATTTCGCGGGTTTTCTGCATCATAAACAGTCGTGTATGTCTTGAAAACATGTATCGCATTTCGTCTCGCCTTGTGAACCAAAATACTTTATGCCAAGAGAGAGAAACAAGAAAGCTCTTAAGAAAGCTCCTAATCCTATCCATCCTCACTTCTGTTTATTTTTTCCTTAGAAACATTCGCGGTCTTCACTACGATAATAAAATATTATTTTCAAGTTCTAATTTTCAACTCCTCTAAAATATTTAGCTTTCGCTGAACAGTACGGCTATAAAAGAAGGTATTCTCAGAAGTGTTAAGCGATATCTAACCTGTCACTGGTACATATGGTAGATATATTAACGTATCGACTGGTAACTTTAAGACATACGCGGTGTCTGATCAATCCAAAATGGGATTGTCAACGTTGTTCACCCAGGTCCTAACTCCTCTTCTTGACTGAAAACGCATCCTGCCTGAAATAAATGAGAACATTTTCTCACATTCCGGTACAATATAGCCAATCACTATTTTACTAAGAGAAGTGTCTTTCTATTAAACTAAAAAGTACAGAAACAATGAAAACACTTGGAAAATACCTCTACAAAACTCACAAACAGTGGATTAAACATTGCGGGGAAATAGCTTTTTCTACAGTAGTATTACTCTCGAGTTTCATTCCTTCTGCAGGTAATTTTACACATCGTGTCGTGACTTAGCTCCTCTAGCCCCACCCTACGGTCACCTCGTCAATACGGTCACCACGTTCTTACGGCCACATTTTTTGTCCCGGCGAAACGGCCATACATTTTCTTAAAAGAAAACTCCGTTAATGCAGCCATCCCTTTAAGGTGGCCGAACACTGTTTTCGCGCGCGCTTTTGCTGATGCAAAACATGCCTTCAATAGAACGATCATTTTATTCAGTTACTCAACACCCGCACTATATGCGCTATTTTTCTCCATTATTGAACGCAGTGTACTGATGCCTTTAGTCTTTTATTACAAAG